GTGGCCGAATTCGCCGCGGTGCACGGCCCGGCGCTGCGAGCCTCCGGCGTCCCCGAACAGTACTGGGCCAGCCTCCTGCACAAGCTGGAGCACGAGGTGCGGGGATCTGGGGTGCGGGCCGCGAGAGAGCATCCTCTGTGGGAAGGCGCGGCAGGGGCCGGGGCTTGATGAGCGTGCAGCGCGGATCCTCAGCAGCTTAGCAGCAGGCTGGAGTTAGGGGCTAGAGTGACAAGGAGAGATCGATCCTTGTGTCTTGAGCCTCCAGGGCCCGGGCTGGGAACTGGAAGGAAAATGAATGCACTTTGGCTCCTTGTCCTGTGCCTGACCCTGTGAACCTCCGCACTTTCCGGCCCCACGGCAGCTCTGTGAGGGAGTAAAAGCCATCAGCCTCATCTGCCGATGAGAAAAACGAGGCTTAGGAAGGGGCAGGAACTCACCCAATTCTCCCAGATCCAACCCCAGAAACTTTCTTTCAGCCACTGACTCCCTGGGGAAAATTGGACCCGTGCTTTTGTGTAGCTTTGACTGATTGGTTCATATGTCTCTCGTCGATCGATTTAAACAACAGATTACATTCGTATGCAAATTAAGGAGACCTGAGGCCGCGGTGATGGAGAGGAAACTAAAGGAAAGTGGAAAGAGTTTAGAAACTTCTGATGTTCTCCCTCTTCGGAGTACAGATCGGTCCTGCTCACCTGCCTGCTCTAGCCTTGGCCTCCACAGGGTCTCTCGCTCATCCTGGCTGAGGCGTGGGACCTGCTTTTTGGATGTTTGTCCAGGTCTGAAGTCAGAGCAGCTTCAGGGCCTTTTCCTTAGCTGGAGCCAGGCTCCTGAGTGCACTGGTGCAAGCGGCTAGGTGGAGCCCCAGAGCCTAGAGGAAGGTGTCAGGATAGGAACTAGGCATCTCCTGGGCCTGGCTCCTGGACACACCCGACCCTCCCTGAGCCAGCTTCTGAGTTCCTGGTTAGACCGGATAACTTACTGCTCAAAAATAGATGAGCATTTACAGGTAGTAGAAAAACTGCACTTTGAATTTTGCATTTTCCTTGGGCTAGTGATCTGTAGCAGAGCCTCTTAAAATGCTGAGGGAGATGTATGTATTTTTTCATTTTGCATTACTGGGGATTGAACCCAGGGTCTTTGCACTGAGCTGCATCCCCACCCATTTTTTTTATTGTAACACAAGATCTTGCTAAGTTACCAGTGCTGGGCTTGAGCTTTCATCCATACCTCAAGCCTCCTACCTCAGCCTCCCGTGGTGCTGGAATACAGGCATGTACCACCACCTGGCTAGTTAAATGCGTTTCAGCCTACAGTATTTTCAGCTTACACTGGGGTTTGCCCGTCATGACTTCATCATAATTTGAGCATCAGTACTGGATTCCAAAAAAGGTACTGTGTTCGTGGCAACTCCTTCCAGTGCAGTGCGTTTTGTTACCGTGGGTTCCCTTTCCCCTTAGCACTTAATTCCTGCAGGCATTTTCTGCAGACTTGCCCTAGTGTCCCAAGCCTGTGCTGAGTGGAAGAGGACACCAGTTTCTTAAAAGGGTCCCCATTTGCTAGATGGAAGAGGAACAGTGTAGGAACACCCTGGCCCCTCCCCAGCCTGCCTCCAGGACCGCAGACCTTCACTCAACCCGGTCACTTGTCGCCCTGTGGGCAGGAAGGGTGGTGAGACATGAGCGTCTGGCTCCCTTGGGACTGAGGTCTGAATGGTGGCATGGGAACAAGCCTGCCCACTGCCCCTGTGCCCCTACTACCCTGTCTGCTGTGCCCTATCCAGGGGCAGCTGGTGTTTTTCCATTAACCTGCTGAGCCATTGTGGGCAGGGATGAATCACCACAGTGCCCGACACTAACCTGCAGCCATTGGAGCAGGGCCTGCCACGGAGCCAGGTTTGGGCAGGAGCTCACCAGCAGAGAGCAGGCCAGGCCCATGCCCCTGGTGTCAGTTCCTCCGAGAGGATGGGCAGCACTTTAAAAATAACTGCCAGTTCCCTGTGTGGGCTGCCAGCTGCAACCACCGCCCTTATCTCACCAGCAACCCCTCCAGCCCCATTGGGTGGGGTTATGGGCACCCAAAGTGTGTGGCTGCCCCACTGTCCCCTGGAAGGTTTGTGGTAGAAGGCAGGATTTGGAGGACATCCTGGGGTGAGGACTCACCCTCCTCCAAGGGAGCTCCTTTCCTCCTCCACCCCAGGTTCACATCTTCACCTCTGATTGCATCTGCCCATCCAGAAAGCCTTGCCAGGCCCTCTGGTCACAGAGCAGTTTACCAGACCCGTGCTCACATGGCCCAGACCTCCCTCGCTGTCATGCCAGACAAAAGCATGTGTGATTCATCCTGGTCACCCACGATAGTGCTTGGTCCTGCCCAGCACAGCAACTGTTGAGTAGGTAGCTGGTTTCCAACCGCTGCAGAAGAGAGAGAGGTTTTAGGGAAGAACCACCCTTTGGGGAGCCCCCCAGGGAGATGAGTGACCTCGTGTACAACGTTTTATCTCATTCTCCCTGCTGTCCTGGAAGGCAGGGGGTACCCTGCTTTCAGTGACGTGTGATGGGGGGACCAAGTGCTTCCATAGCACTTGGCACAGCCCTAGCCCTGATGTCGGCCTTTAGTGTGTTAATTAATTTATCCCTCCAACAGCCCTCTGATGTAGGCCCTGTTCCTCCCACTGGACAGATGAGGAAACAGGCCCAGCAGCTGAGTAACTTGTTAAAGGATCACATATGTAGGAAATGGCAAAGCTAAGTGTCAGACCACACAGCCAGGGCCCGTGCATTGGCAGTGATGGTGCCCAGTATGTGGGCTAGGGTTAGGGTTCCCATCCCATCTTACCCTGAGAATAGCCCCAGACCCCCTGGGGGTGTCTCCTGGATTGGCAGGGTGGCAGGAAGAGGCTCTCAGGGGTCACTCAGATGCCCTGCCATTAGATTAGCTCTGGTAGGGGGGTGCTGTCTGCCCTCCAAGATCCTGAATCCATCCAGTTTACCTCCAGAGGGACCAGAACCACCCTCAGCCTTTGGGGCCTTCTTTGTCGCTGTAAAACAAGCAACCTAGCTAGGGATACACGGTCCCATTTCCAGCATGGTGTCCTGTATGAGGAGAGGCTTTGGACCACAGCACAAGAGATAGTGGGGGTCTTTAGGAGGCACTTTCCCCACCTGTCAGAGCTTGTGCATAAGTTGGATGGTGAATAGGTCCTGCTTCTCAGAGCAGAGTTTGTCCTTTAGCTCTGGTTGTAGCCTATAGGGACCCCAGAACCTGAGTCCTGGCTGCCAGGAAGAGTTAGAGATGGGGTCCCTGTCCACACCCCCTCTGACCTGTGCTCTGGCCCCCAGGTTTTTGATGCCGGGGAGAAGTTTGGGATAATGCAAGTGGAGGAGGCGGAAGAGGATGAGGATGAGGCCACCCAGGAAGGACGGAGGAAACAGCCCAACCCAGGGGGAGAGCTGTGCTACAAAGTCATCGTGACCAGTGAGAGTGGGCTGCAGGCTGACAACCCCAACAGGTAGGACACAAAAGGCAGGCTGGGCGTTGGTCATCTACGCAGTGACACTCAGGACCTGGCTTCCTGTTGGAGATTTGACCAACAGGAAGAGCAGCAATAACTGCAAACCCTTGCGGCTTCCCTGTCCCTCAGTCCTCAAGACAACCCACGATGTGCTCATGTGGCAGTGGTGTTTCCACCTGGGCTGTTAGTGGTCCCATGTGAGCGTGCCTGACTCAACCTAGGAGCACCTCCCAGTGACCTTCCTATCCTGGGGGTCCCGCTGCAGGGTCACTGAACATTCTGCTTTGCCGATGAGGAAGCAAAGCCCAGGGGAAGGACTTAGCCACCCAGTGGCCTGTGGACACCTGTGCTGAACCCAGTGCGGGCTGCTCCTGGGCCCCGTGTTTCTGAGGATCCCGCAGCCCCTCCCTGTTCCTGCTGTGTCAGAATCTCTGAGAAGAGTCCGAGGAAGTAGGACCTGAGACTTGGAGCAGGCTGGCCTTTATGGTCCAGTCCAGATCCAAGACTATCCCTGTGCTTTGTCTCCAGAACCAGGTGAGGCTGTCCAGAGCCAGGGCAGACCTGGGGCTCCTCTGCCATAGGAACGGACCAGGCCAGCCTCTGGGGGTCACTAGGTTCTGTTCTCTTCTCCTGCTCTGTGCTCTTCCTCAGGTTCGGTGCAGCAAGCTTTGCGTGCACTTGAGCCCAGCCACAGGGGACTCGGACACGGTGGCCGCCCCCGGAGCTCAGGTCTGGAGCACACGCCACCCTCAGTCAGGCCTGGGTTCAGAGCCTGAGGTGTTCGTTTCCATTCCACTGTTCTCTGTGAGATTGCCAGACCCCAGCAAGCTCTCCCATCCTTCCTCCCGGGCCCTGCACAGGTATAGCACCCTCACCACGGCTGGCCATGGTCTCCCTAGCTCAGGCACACATCCTGAAGGGCCTGGCTCTGTGCACTGCATTATGGCGTCCTCAACTCTAAGCACAAGAGCAGGAATAAATCTTCATTTGTCTCAGGATACCCAAACCAAAAAACTGATAGAGCTACAGTGAAAGAGACAGACCCAAATTTGACCTGAGTGTGGGCAATGCAGCATTTGCCATTCCTTGGATTTTGAAGGGGAAACAGAGTCAGTCATGTCATAGGCTAAGCAAGGGGTCCTGTCTTGCCTGTCTGAGTCCTGGGCACCCGAGCCTCCTGACCCTGCAGGGCTCTGGCTGGGGCCTGGCAGCCTCCATCCTGGGGCAGGAGGGCAGACCAGCCTCAGGCCTGCAGCAGGAGTGCCACCCCCAACCACAGTTTGGGAAGCACTGTGTGCCCGTCTTTATTTCTCGTTACTGAGATAATCCGCCCGACACACACAACTTCAAGGAGGGGGGTTTATTTTGGCTCACAGTTTGTAGTGGTCTCAGTCCACTGTTGGCTGCTCCAAGGCAGGGTGGCATGGCGGAGGAGGCCTGCTTTTGCGTATGGTATGGCAGAGAGATCAAGGGAGCAGAGAGGGAGATACAGGCTTCCAGGCCACACCCCAGTGACCCAGCTCCTTGACCAGGCCTCGCCTCCCAAATCACATTCAGCTGTAAACTCATCCTTGGACTAATCCATAAGTGAGTATCGCACCTCCATGATTTGCTCACCTCCTGAAGAGGCTTTGGGAGGACATCTGTCTATAACCACAGAGCATGCAGAGGGCTTGCCAGGTCCAGAAGTCCTGGGTATGCGTGCGTAGCTCGAGAAGTATGGGGCCTGCAGGGAGCAGGAAGGGCAGCGCCAGCCTGGGCTTCCCCTAACGTTAGGGAGATCACTTAGTGTTTGTCACAGCACTCAGCGTAGTCAGCGTCCCAGGTCTTCGGACCCGTGAGATGAGGTGCTTGTGGTGATGAGCACTTTATTGCCACACTTTAGAGATGAGCAGGAGAAGGGCTTACTCAGGATGTACACACCGAGTGGGCTGCAGAGCAGGGGTCTTGGCCCTGCCTGCTGGACGCCAGGACCGTGCACAACTACAGTGCTAGGGAAATTGAGTCCCAGAAGGATGGGTGCTGAGTCCTGGCCACCGCTTTGGCCTCCTTCCTGTCCCCTCTGGTCCTCTTTCCCTTTTTGTGGCGCCTGCTTGGCAGCTCATGTGTGGCCCATGCCTGCAGCATCTTCCTCATCGACCATGCCTGGACGTGTCGTGTGGAGCACGCCCGCCAGCAGCTGCTGCAGGTGCCGGGGCTGCTGCACCGCATGGCCAGCCTGATGGGCGTGGAGTTCCACGGCGAGCTGCCGAGTGAGGAGGCTGTGGCCCTGGTGCTGGAGGAGATGTGGAAGTTCAACCAGACCTACCAGCTGGCCCATGGGGTGAGCCGCCGAGCCCCAGGGTGGGGACGGCCCCAGCGAACGACCCAGCCTGGCGTCCCCAGGTCTGGCTCTTCCAATCCTGTCACCCGCTGGGTCTTGGCCACCCTCAGGATGGCAGCCCAGCCCCTCCACATATCCTCAGGCCCTTGCCGACCCTAGTCTGGGGACAGATGTGCTTGTTCCCCAGGACTCACCTTTGGTGCCACCTCCTCCCGGAGCCTTCCCTGGACTCACCTCACCCACGGCCCAACTCACCCATGATGAAGCTGCTGGCAGAGGCCTGATTGCACGAGCCTGTACACCCCTGCCCTCACGCTGCTCACGTGGCCCGACCAGCAATGCCCAGGGCTGATCAAATGTTGGGTGTAGGGGAAGAGCCATAACTGAACGCTTGGGTGGTTCCTGTTTGCCAGGGTGGATGGGTCCTAGTTTGGGGCACAGGAAAGGAGATTAGCGAGCAGGGGCAGGGGACACGAGGACGAGGGTTGCTGCCGTCCCGCCCACAGACAGCCGAAGAGAAAGTGCCAGTGTGGTACATCATGGACGAGTTCGGCTCACGGATCCAACACGCGGACGTGCCTAGCTTCGCCACCGCACCCTTCTTCTACATGCCCCAGCGTGTGGCCTACACGCTGCTGTGGCCCCTGAGGGACCTGGACACAGGCGGTAAGTCTGGTGCCCGCCTGCCTGCCTACCCAGAGGATGGGCCTCGGCAGCCTCCCACCACCTCCGCTGACAGCCACGCATGTCTTGGTGCAGAGGAGGTGACCAGGGACTTTGCCTATGGAGAGGCAGACCCGCTCATCCGGAAATGCATGCTGCTGCCCTGGGCCCCCGCCGACATGCTGGACCTCAGCTCCTCCACGCCCGAGCCTCCCGCCGAGTACTACCAGGTGTGGCCCCACCTTGGCCTCCACCCAGCCTGTTTGCTTGGTGGCTTCTGGAATGTCCTCTGTCCATTCATCAAATGAGAATAGACACCAGCCAGGGCCCGGCCCTGAGCAGGTTACTAGGGTAGGTGCACAATGTTCAGAGAACACCCGAGAGACTAGGAGCTCAGAGCTCAGGGTGCAAGTAGGAGCCCCCCAGAGCCACACAGCCTGGACCCTGATCAGGTCCCATGGTGCCAGGTGTGAGGACGTAGTCTTTGCAGGGGTCAGGCTGCATGGGTGATACTCTTGTCCCTGGAGGGAAGACACTGCAGGGGTCCTCAGTATCTAAAGGGACTAGGTCCCAGGACCCTCAGCAAGTTCTGCAGGTGCTCGAGTCCCTCGTGTAGCACAATGTATTGTCTGTATGCGGTGCGCGCATATCCACCTGTATGCTTGGGCTGCTTCCAAAATCTAATACGCAGATACTGTGCAGACCGGTGCACTGCACTGTGTACGTGAGAACAGCATGCAGAAGTCTGTGTGTGTGCCGTGCAGACGATTTACACTTAAATACTTTTTTTTTTAATAACGCTGACTTTATTCAAGGTGATGCAGCAGTTTATTTGTTTGGTACCGGGGATCAAACTCAGGACCTTGCATTTGCGAGGCAGATGGCAGAACCATTGAGCTAAATCCCCGGCCCACATTTAAATACTTTGGACCTCTGTGGGTTGGATCTGAGGATACAGACTCTGGTTGTGGAGGCCACTGTCTGTCCACGCTAAGACAGTTCCAGCTTGTGGCAGGCCCCAGCGGGGAGCCTGTTGGTGAGAGCAAAGCTGCAGCCCCTCTCATAGTCAGAAAGGCCTGGCTGCCGTGAGGGTGCACACAGGAGCCATTGCCAGGGGCCACATGGTAGTCTGCGAGGCCCCGGGCAGGCAGAGGTGAAGGTGGGGCATGCTCTCCCGTGTTCCTTAAGACGTCACACTTCCGTCCTCGTGTTCATTTTACTGAGGGTGAGCGAGCAGGCACAGAGAAGTTAAGTCAGAGGCCTCCTAGCTGGTAGGAGAGCTGCATCCAGAACCAAGCACAGAGAGTAGTAGCTGGAGGGCAGAGGCTGCGAGACTGCGACAGGCAGGACCTGGTGTCTCAGAGCGTGCAAGAAAATACAGAGGGACTGGTGCCAGTGAACTCGTGCTGGAGCTGCCGGCTTTGTCCTGCGGGGTGGGTACCCTTGGGCCACAAGCAGTGGATACAGGCGAGGCAGGCGGGTGGCTTAGGGCCAGTTGCATCCTGGCCTTGAGGCTGTTGGTCTCTAGAAGCCTGCAAGCCCTGTGCTAAGTGAGCGGATGTGGGGGTCAGACATCAGCCACATCCGTGTTCTCTCATGTAGCCCATGGGACGGGGCCTGTGCTTGGGACCCTGGTGTCACCTGTGCTATTTAGCTGCAGCCGTGACAACTCCAGAGCTTAGTGGCTGCAGGACCACCACGGCTCACCTCACCCAGTGTCCAGGGCTCAGCAGGTGCCCCAGCCAGGCACTCAGCACGTGGTCCCCAAAGGCTGCCCTTCACAGGCGCAGTGTCGGATGCCGGGACTCTGCTGCCATGCAGCTCCTGTGCCTAGCGAGGGAGCTGGCCATGGTGGAAGCTCTTGGGCGTGGTGCTCTCCGTGGGCTCTCGGTGTAGTGGCCACCTTCCCCAGAAGGAGTGACCGGAGAGAGAGCCAAGAGGAACCGCAGGCCCACGTGACTGCTCAGAAACAGTGGCTGTCACTACCCAGTGTCTGTCCATAAGCAGTGGCCCCTCAGGCCCAGCACACCTCCAGGGTGGACCAGGCTCCACCTCCAGAGGCCCAGCTTTAACCCGTCCCACAGCCTAAGCCAGGAGCAGCCCTGCGGGGATAGGCTACGCCTTCCTGACGCCTTCCCATGCTTCGGAGGTCACTGACAAGGCGGAGGGCAACGCGAACCTTGGTCTTGTGATGCCAATCGAGAGCCATCCAGGGCCTGCTGGGTGCTGGAAGTGGCATCTGCCAAGGCTCCCCCTAGGGACCGACCTGGCAGCCAGGTGGGGAGGTGTGTATCTGTTGCTCCCTTCCTTGAGTCTCCTACCTTGGTGTGTTTCCTTCTAGGCCATTCTGGAGGAGAACAAGGAGAAACTGCCTCTTGACATCAGCCCAGCACCCCACCCTCAAGACCACGTCTTCAAGTACGTAGCTGCTCCTCTGCTCGTGCCAGGCTGGTCCTCTGCTGCTTTCCACACTCACTGTGGTCCTGGTCCCTGAGAGCCTGGCACACACTCTGGGCACCGCAGTTGACAGGACACCGTGGTTGATTCTTAGCATTATGGGGTGGGGGGCTGAGCCCCTGAAGGAGGAAGGGGTTGAACTCGCCCAGGAAGCCTGAAACCGGAGCAGGCCTCAGATGCGCTAAGGGTGGGTAAAGGACCCTGGGGCGGAAGCATCAGCTGCCCCATCTCTGCTACTCCTGCCCCTTGGTCCCAAAAGTGGAAATGCCAATCTGCCCTTGCCTGTGGGGTGGCTATGGCCATGCCAGCACCTCCTAGAGGGCTTTTCCCGGAGTCTGCGGTACAGGTGGGATGGGCGGCCCAGCCACACCCTGCAGTCTCCCTTTTGTAGGTGAGGAAGCAGAGGTGCAAATAGCTGTGCCCATCCAGGGCCGATCCCAGCTCCTCAGCTGGCAGAGTCGGCCTCTGCCCGCAGGGAGGCCCCCAGACAAGCCTCGTCCAGTCTGGGCCCTTTCTTGAAACAAAGGTCTGCCTGGGACCCTGCCCGTCCCTCCACCTCTCGTGGGACCCAGGCCACATGGAGGCTGCACTCGGTCCTCCCGGCCACAGTCAGCGTTCACAGTCTCTCTCAACCTAGCCTCCTGGTCCTGGCCCGCCCAGGCAGACCGCACCCAGCCAGTGCCCGCGCCCTTCCTGCCCTCAGTCTCACCGCCAGGTGGGCTCCCAGCAAGCTCAGTTGTTCCAGGCCTCCGATGAATGTTCCTAGCACTGGCCTCCTGCTTGGAGGGCTGAGTTCCTGGGGCGTCTCCATGGGAGAAAAGAGCCAGGGTTCTCTGCCAGGCGTGGTGGCGCACACCTGTCATCCCAGCACTTGGGAGGCTGAGGCAGGAGGATCCCTGTGAGTTCGAGACCAGCCTGGGCTACATAGTGAGTTCCATGTCAGTCTCAACTACACAGTGAGACCCTGTCCCAAAACAAAACAAAAGAAGAGCCAGAGTTCTCTAAATCCTGAGCTCTCCTGTTTCATCCTGGCAACAAACATGAGGTGGGGACGGAGGACACAAGATGCCCCGTCCCTTGGCAGACGGAGTACTCGGGACCAGGCCTGGCTTCTGGCATGGGCAAGAGCTCACCCACCCACGGTGGTGCGGCAGCCCCTCAGCCCGGCTGTCTCCCTGTAGGGTCCACACGGATGTGCAGCAGGTGCTGGGCCACCTCACACACCCGAGCTTCACCTTTACCCCTAACGAGGCGGAGGCTGACGTCTTGTACCACTTCTCCCACTTCAAGGACTACAGGTGGGGAACCTCCCGGCCTGCAGGGGACCCCACCGCCAGCCCGAGGCCGGGGCCCTCCTCTGAGCCCGCTCCTGCTTTTGCCACAGGAAGCTCAGCCAGGAGAGGCCAGGTGTGCTGCTGAACCAGTTCCCCTGCGAGAACCTGCTCACGGTGAAGGACTGCCTGGCCTCCATCTCGCGCCGGGCCGGGGGTCCAGAGGGCCCTGCCTGGCTGCCTCGCACCTTCAACCTGCGTACCGAGCTGCCGCAGTTTGTCAGCTACTTTCAGCATCGGGAAAGGCAGTAAGGCTCCATGCAGCACAGCCAGGCAGGCGGGGACCCTAGGGTGTCCTGTCACACTCCTCACCCACCTCTCGTCATGCCCACACTGCTCTCAGCTGAGTCCTGCTGCAGCACTGACTGTGCCATCAGCAGCTCTTTGGGGATATGCAGTCCTTCTGCCCCAAGCAAGCGCAGTCCCTGGGCTCCGACAAACCCCTCCCTGTCCTCAAGGCCCAATCTCCTTGCGACACCTCTATCCCTGGGAGATATTACTGCCTCCCTGTTGCCAGGGTCCTGAGCCCCAGTCCTGGAGGCCCTGGGAGCAGCCTAGCTAGCAGCCCTGTCCCCCAGGGGTGAGGACAACCATTGGATCTGCAAGCCGTGGAACCTGGCCCGCAGCCTGGACACCCATGTCACCAGGAGCCTGCACAGCATCATCCGGCACCGGGAGAGCACCCCCAAGGTGGGCCGCGGCACTACCTGGAGAGGGGCCTAGAGGACATCCAGGTGGAGACCTGGGAGGTTCAGCAGGGAGTCAGAACTGGGGGCAGAGCCCAGCCTTCCGCTGTGCTGTTGCAGGGGGTGGTTGTGTCAGCCCCGATAAGAGGGTGGAGCCCCTCACTCAGAACCGTCCAGGTGTGTCTGACCTCGGAATCCCCAGCACACGACCACCTGGTAGCAGGTCTAGGACAACGGTCTCGTTCATCCAGAAGCAACATCAGAGGGCACAAAATGCACCTGGGCATGGCTGCAGCAGGGGGACATGGCCATGACAGGCTGGAAGGAAAGGGACTGTCTGGGCAGTCACTGTGGGTGTCCGGAGCAAGAGATGGGGCTCGGTGGCGTCAGAGGCGAGACTGCTGTTTCAAAACCTGGGAACTGATGGGGTTTTTGTCCTCGGTGTAAAGACGTGCAGAATTTGCAGCACCCTAAGACACTGAAAGGCAGCTGTGGCCCCTTGGAAGCCTCGGTGGGCCCAGCGTGCTGGGCAGGGAGCTCTCCCTCCCACCCAGAGCCCACCTCTGCCCTCCAGGTCGTGGCCAAGTACATCGAGAGGCCTGTCCTGTTCCCCCGTGAGGACGTGGGCAGCGTCAAGTTCGACATCCGCTATATTGTGCTGCTGCGCTCCGTGAAGCCGCTGAGGCTGTTCGTGTATGATGTGTTCTGGCTGCGCTTCTCCAACCGGTAACTGGGGTTCCCTGGGTCAGGGGCCCTCCCTGCTCGTGGGGTCAGACAGCCTGCAGTTGAGTTTCTGCCCTGTGACCCCTGGGAGCCCGCCCTTGTTCCCTCTAAGAGCCAGTGCCTGCGCTGTGCTGTGCATGGCTCCAGGGAAATGGGCATTGCCGCATGAGAACCACGGGGACATTTCACGGCCATGGGGAATCTTCACAGCACCAAACTCACCCGAACCCAATTCCAGGTGGGGGGCGGCAGGGAAGGCTCGGTGCATGGGCAGCTGTGGTACGCAGAGCTCGGGAGCCCACGGCACATCTGTGTCTCCTTGTCACGCTCCAGACCCTTTGAGCTCAACGACCTGGACGACTACGAGAAGCATTTCACCGTCATGAACTACGACCCGGATGTGGAGCTAAAGCAGGTGGGGCCTGGCGGGGCCTGGGGTGCGGGTTCCAAGTGCTAGCTGTCAAAGGCAATCTTGAGAGCAACTGTGACAGCAGCCCCAGGGCCCGTGTTCTCAGAGTCCCCCCGTGGTGCTAAAGAGCACTCACTCTGTTGGCGATCGTGGTGTAGTCCCCAGGTCTGAGGCAGGTCAGAGTTTGGAGCAGAGGGGTCTCCCCGGAAGTGGGACTCCTGTCCCTTCAGTCCCTATGAGCACAGGGACCAGGGAGGAGCCACCCAGATCTGGAGTCTCCTATGTATCCGTCGTCTCCTTATGTGCGGGGCCCAGCAGTTCCCCACAACAGGCACTCAGGGCTGGTTCTGCTGTCTGCCTGCCAGGGCTACGTAGGGCACCAGGTGAAGCCCCTTCCCAGGCGCCTACAGCGGCGCGCCTGCGACCCGCAGACACCTACACAAGGGCCGGGGGCCAGCTCTGCATCCTGGAAGGAGGGGCTCGTCCCAAAGTCCTGTGTGCCCTGCTGGCTGGTTGACAAGTATTTCAGGCGAGCAGGAGGTTAAGCAGGCCCTCTGCTGTGCGTGATTGCTGTTCCCAAGTGCAGCTTGGTTCTCAGTAGCACAAGGCCTCCCCGAACAGTCCAGACTGCTGTGTCCCATAGGTGGCATTAACACAGACAAATGCTGTGTGGTTGAATGCGTCCTTCTGCCTCTCTTTTTGTGCCAAACATCGTGTTATCCTGGAGAATCCCCACAAAGGGAGATGCCACGTCAAAGTGGCCGGGCTGATACCCACTATGTCCCCTCGTCCCCCTGGCTGCTGAAAGCCAGGATGATGTTGGAAGTCACCCCCGAGGGAGCTGAGCCCTTTCCCTCTGCGTTGTGAAGCATCCGGGAAGCTCTGGCCGGAACGCAGCCTCCCCAGGGCCGGCCCTGCATCTCCTCTGGGAGAAATCCGGGCAGCCGGATTTCTGTGCATTTTGGGTGAGCTCTTGGCCTGGAAAATCTTGTCCTTTTGACACTTCCAGACTGGTACTGCTTGGTGACACAGGCAGGGCGCTGCAGGCTCTGCTGAGGGCACCATGCTGGGCTGGGCATGCTGCCTCGGGCCTGGCAGCCTCCCGATTCCTTAGCATTCAGTGCCTCGCTAGAGCCTGCGGTTAGTTTACCGGGCAGGAAGCTTCGCAGAGGTTTCACAGGGGAGGAAACAGGCTCAGAGAGGCTGCTCTGCTCATCCGTCCTCGTACAGTAGGTCAGCCTTAACCCAGTCTGCCACCCCCATTTGTACCCTAAGGGGCCAGTGGTGGACACTGACCCTGGCACATGTGCGGGGCTCCAGGACAGCATGCGCAGGCCTCTCCTCCCCAGAGGGCGCCCCGGAACAGCATTGGCACCTCCTGTCTTCCAGGTGCATTATGACGAGTTCATCCCCCAGTTTGAGAGACAATACCCGGAATTTCCCTGGAGCGGCGTGCAGGTGAGACCTCAGTGCCCCTCCCTCCTGGATGGCCTCCCCCCCCACACACAAGCCTGGTGGCCCCAGCCCAGCCGAGACTATCCCCTCCGCTCAGGTCCTGGGTGGGTGTCACAGGGCCCCTCGGCAGAAGAGTGTCACCCAGAGGGGCATCTGAAGCACCCCTAGGACAGCCAGTGGACAGCGGGCCCCACCTGCCCTGGGAATCCAAGCCCACTGGAGGGCATCTAGGGCCTGGGCAGAGCTGCCGGGTGCTGGGGCCAGGAGATGGGCAGACTCACACGTGACTCCGGGGCTGAGGTGCAGCTGAGGGAGAGCAGTTGCCAAGCATGCAGGGACCCCAAGTTCCGTCCCTGACTCCAGAAGCGATGGGACTCCAAATATGTGGGAGGTGACCATAAGCGGGTGCAGAAACAAGGGCCATTTGGGGGGGCAGGCCTCGGGCAGAACCATGAAACTCGTCTTAAGAGGCTGCCCAGGGGGCCTAGCGTGACTCAGCCTCCCGTCCTCAGGCTGAGATCTTCCGGGCCTTCACAGAGCTGTTCCAGGTAGCGTGTGCCAAGCCACCACCCCTGGGTCTCTGCAACTACCCCTCGTCCCGGGCCGTGTATGCTGTGGACCTCATGCTGAAGTGGGACACCCGCCCAGATGGTGAGGGGCTCCCCCGTCCTACAGCCCTGTCTGCCTGCTCGCAGGGTGACAGAAGGTGGCAGGCTGGCGGCGGTGTCAGCAGGGAATCCATGGGACCGCTGGGTGGAAGCACTGTCCCCACACAGCCCTGGCCAGGGCCGTCCCTACGCCTCTGAGGCATAGGACTCAGCTTGAAGTGGCACTGCTTCCCCTGTGCCTGCTGTGGGACATGGGGCGAGGCCACAAGCTCCCTGGCCTGCCCACCACCTGCTGTGCTCCGCCTCAGGGACGCAAGCGATGCAGCCACAGATCCTGGAGGTGAACTTCAACCCTGACTGCGAGCGTGCCTGCAGGTACCACCCCTCCTTCTTCAACGATGTCTTCAGCACCTTGTTCCTGGACCAGCCTGGCGACTGCCAGGTCACACGCCTCATCTAGGCCCTGCGGCCCCTGCCATCTGCGCTCGAGATGCCAGTCCAGCCTCGCCTTCTGCGCTGCTCTGCAGAACCCCCTCCCTGGCCACCTCCCTTGCCCCCTCCTCCTGGGGCAGCCCCTGTCTCCCTTCCAAACCCTGGCCCTCCTGGGACCATCGCCCCACTGCACGCCAGGGCCGCAGAGCCTTCCTACTCCACCGCCAAGGCCATCCCCACGTCTCCCCACCCGTCCCTGTCCCTGAGAGCCTGTCCCCAGCTGCCTCGTTCCAGAGGTCTTAAGGGAAAGGGGTTCCCTAGAACCCTGCATCACGAGAGCCAGGCCTTGTCTCCCGTCTGCTCTCACTATGCGGTTCCCGAGTGGATCATCTGTCTGTGCCCACAGGGCTGTGTGGCGGCCCCAGAACCGCTACCAGCCCATCACGGCTCCGGCAGGAAGCCACACCTCTGGATGGGCCTGACTTCTGGGAAGCTGGCCCCTGAGGGTCCCTTCCCTCCCAAGGGCCTCCGGTGTCACTGGGCACCTCACCAGGTCCCAGCCACCTCTCGAGATGGGCGGCACTCTGGGGACAGTGCAAGGGGCTGGGGCAAGCATGGATGCTAATGCGGTTCGAAGCAGGATTTGTTACTCTCTTCCGAGGTCCAGAGTCAGTGTCGGGTTGATATTTTTTTTATTTGGGGGAGGAAAATATAAAATTCCAGTTCTTCCCTAATTTCGTGTTTTGTGTAGTTGCAGTGCACCTAACCTGGGTGTGTGGCACCAACCCCCGGTAGCCAGAGCTGCCTCCAGAGCCTCCCCTGCGCAGGAGGGTAGAGTGGGGCACTGAGTGTTTCCTTTTTGAAGCCAAATCCAGCCCTTCCCTAGCAGAGCTGGGCTCCATCTCTGTCTCGGCCTGGGGGCTACTGCCGGAGCTGAACAGGAATCTGTAGCTGTCCCCCTCCCTGCTGGATTTGTACCTCAATAAAGTCGGCCTTTTTTGCCTCTACCCCTTCCTCCCAATGGCTTTGTCTGAACAAGTTAGAGTGCTTAGACCTCTGATCTCCCAGCCCAGTTTGGTTTCCAGGTCAGGACACAAGAGCCAGGGCCTATCCCAGCTCCTGCACTTGGGTCTAGTGGCCTTGGGGCCTGGTGTTCTCCCTGCACTGTCTGCTTTTCCTGAGAGTAGGGAAATGAGACCCAGTTTCTGGCAGATAAGAGGGCTCAGTGCCAGAGCAGATGGGACAGTGTCAGGTGCAGTGGCGCCACCTGCTGGCCAGGGAGATTTAAGCTCCGAAGACACCACAGCTGCTGAGAGGCGGACCCACACAGCCTGCGTCTCTAAGCTAGGTCATTTGGGCAGCAGCCTATGGGAATGTGCTCTTGCTGATCCCGGTTCACCTAAACATTGCTGCAACCAGCCATCCCCCTGGTCAGGCGCATGGACATGCCCAGGCAGTTGCCATGGAGATGGCACCTAGCCCACTGGATGCTTCCAAGGCTAGTCACTGGCTCTGCGCTGCACTGGGCAGTGCCGCGGGAATCCCCAGCGTGACATCTGCACAGTGTCCATGGTGATGCTCTGGCTGCACGGACAAGCCCAGTAGTGACAAGTTGTGTACAGGTGCTGGCAAGTGACAGGATCTTGCAGTACCAGACAGACCTAGCCCAGAGTGGTCAGCCGTGAAACTCAGGTGCTTGGTAGATTCCTCAGTCAGAGCCCTCCTATGTGGCAGGGAGTGGGTGCTGGGCATCATAACCGGGGCCTCATGCATGCCAAGCAAGTTCTACCACTGAGCTACACCCTCAGCCCTTTTTTAAGACGGGGTCTCACGAACTGGCACAGGCTGGTCTTCAGCTTGTGATCCTCCTACCTCAGCCTTCCAGGTAGCTGGGATTACAGGTGTGAGCCACCATCTCCAGCCGGCTAAGCTTTCTTGTGCTGTGTGAACAGCCTTGTGCAGTCAGACGGTACCGGAAACCGGTGTGGAGAGGGACTCAGCAAGCTTGTGGGCCACAGGCTCCCCTCAGCAGGAGCGCAGTTGTCACAACCTAGTCCTTGAAGGACAGTGACCAGAGTAGGTGCTGTCCTACGGTGAACCAGGGAAGAGCTCCTTCCCTGTTCCAGGGTGACCAGCAGGAAGTAGGACACTGCTAAGCATTGCTGTGGGTGGGTGAGCATCTCCACAGAGCCCCGAAATCCGCAGGGCTCCGTCCCTTAGTTCATAGTGTCCAGCACGAGGCCTGCAACACACTGGGAAGACGGGCTCGGGGTGACACCTCCAAATCCAGGTGGGTCGGGGCTGACCAGTTTGGTGTTTGTGGGGTCACCCCTACAGGGAGAGAAGCTGGTACCCAGGGGGGTGGCTGACACCTCCAGCTGAGGCCTCCCAGGCCGGGCAGAAATCCTGGACTGTGGCTGTGGGCCTGGGCTGAGCCCTGGAAGCCGTGAGGAGGTGACAGCCCATGCCCCAGCTCTGGGCGCCCTACCTGCCTCACAGGGCCTCAGGAGGTCCTGAGAAGGGTGCGAGAGCCATGGCTGGATGATGCGGCCCAGCAGACCCAGCTAGGGGTGCCTTGTGTGGCCATAGCCCTTGCCCAGGTACAGAGACCACTGCACAGGAGGTCAGGATTTTATTTGGTTACAAAATGCTGTGCTCCCAGAGCTGGGTGCAGGCCTTGCAGAAGAAGCACAGGACACCATTCCCACGTGGGGCTCGGCCTGGGTCACCTGAGCCGCTGCTGACCCCTGGGCCGAGTCCACAACAGACCCAGTGGCACCACACCAAGAACGCCTGCCTGGCCCCGGCCACAGTCCTCGGCAGCCCAGGCACCCTCACTCCGGGACCTGCCGGCCACCACGGCCATGGTTATCCCGCCATACGCGGTAGTTGAGTGCAGTCGCGAAGGCCAGCCAGGCCAGGTAGGGGTAGAGCAGGCGGGCGGCTAGTGGGCTCACGCGGTGCCAGGCCACAGCTGTGGCTGTTGCTGCCCCGCTGACGAGCAGGAGGTCCACCAGGGCCTGCAGGGTCACAGGACAGGGAGGCTGAGGCTGCACTGCCACCCGCTCTCCAGCCTCCTCCACCCTTGAGCACCCCCCCATCCTCAGCTTCAGTTTCCCCGCCTATGAAATGGGTACAGTCACTCCTGCCTGACCCATGCCAGGTGCAGGTCGGGCTGGGGGACATGGCACATCCAGGCGCCAGGTGCTGACATCCCTGCAAGTCCCGACAGCCTTGCTGTAAACTGTCAAGTGCTGCTGGACATGGGGACACACGCCAGTAATCCCAGCACTCTGGAAGGCTGAGGCAGGAGGATAAGTCACAAGTTCCAGCCCAGCCAAGGCAATAACGGCCAGACCCTGCCCGGATGCCCCTGCTGCCCCCACCTGTGGACGCTGCTCCTGTCTGATATACGACACCCAGAATCCTGCAAGGGCTTCCTTGGGGACCAGAGACTCACAAGGCCACACTTACCCAACCCATCTGCCGGGCACCGAAGAAGATGGGAGGCCACGCCCAGTTCAGGGCCAGCTGCCCTGCATAGAGGCCCAGGGGAGCCACAGCCTCCTCCGTGAAGCCCCCCAGCTCCTCCCAGACCAGGTAGGATCCATACCTGGAACAGAGGCCGCTGGTCAGGACACCGCCGGGGAGAAGTCCTGGAGACTCACCTACCTGCTACACTGCCAGTGACTGTTGTGTGACTGCAGGAGAATAGCTATACCTCTCTGGGCCTTTGTTTCTTGTAGGATTACTGTGGGGACTGGAGTTGACAAACTGGCAGAACCTATTGTGTTACCTGGCACACGGGACACTCAATAAATATTTGCCAGTGTTATCATCCTCACTATGATGAGGGAAGCACACAGGCCATGTGGATAAAGCTAGGGCCACTGCACAGAAGAGGGGGCATTTTGGCTGGCCTTAGAGGCTGAGTAGGAGTTTGCCAGGGAGAGGAAAAGGCTTGGAGGCTGGGGTGAGACCCTGAGTCAGTGCTCTGGGCCACCAGGGCCTCAGGGGTAGCAGAAGAGCTGGGCCAGGTGTGACCTGCTGGTCTGGTGCTGGAGGTACCAGGATGGGACGAACACAGAGCCCACACCAGACCCAGCCTGGCCTCTGCCGCCTGGCACCCCCAGACTCTTCCCAGGAGCAGGGTGGGGCTGACCACCCAACACACCGTGGGGTGTGGTCTCCACTGCACCCAGCACTGGTTGTCATGGGACTCGGAAGCCAGATTTGGGGAGGGCCTCCTTCAGGATCCCTACTTGCTACCCTGTGTCCCGGCAAGGTCCCTTGTCAAACGTAAAAATCAGGCATGGTAAGTCTGGCACAGGTTACTACAGCTCGGTGTTTATCTTGGAGCATTTGCCCCTCGGGGTGGCAACCTTTACCCTCCCAGCTGGGCACAGCAGTGGGGTGAGTGAGCCCCAGGCTGCTCTCCAAGAGGCCCAGGAGAAGAGTTCGGTTGTGCAACCACGGGCCTCCCTCCCTGGCTGGGAACGGTGCCATCCCTGCCCACGCTGCCCTCTGTGATGAGCACCATGCCAGCCTGGGAACCTGCACCTACCCCATGGCTGAGTACAGCGTGCCCCAGACAGGAGCCAGCGCCCAGCGCGGCGGGTGCCACGAGGGCTTCTGCAGGGTGGCGTACCAGCGGAGGCTCTCACCACGGACGAAGTAGGACCCCACGAAGCCGCCCAGGTTGGGCAGGAGCGTGAGGCCCACAGCGGGCACCCAGGGTGGAGCCATGGCTACTGTCTCAGAAGCTCTGGAAGAGAAGGAGAGCCAGGGTGTGGGCCTTTCCCAAGGGCACTGGATCAGCCTCCGTCACCGTCAGAATCCCACGTCCTGTCACCCCAGAAAGGACAGACCAAGCAGGAGGTGTTCCCCAGGCCAAGTGCCAGCCTCAGGAACCCTCTGAGCTACACCCCCAGCCCCTTTTAATTTTACTTAGAGAGAGGATCTCATGGAGTTGCCCAGGCTGGCCTTGAACCCGCCATCCTCCTGCCTCAGCCTCTGAAGTACTTGGATTACAGGTGTGTGTCCTGCACCCAGCAAGGCCTGCGCTTTATGTTCTAGCCCTTAGCTCCTCATTCATTCATTCAATGCCTGGAAGACCGAACTTGGCTCCCTCAAACTCCTGGTCCCCGCCAACTCATTCTGACCTCAGGCAAATCACTTCCATACTTGCACTCAGTTTATTAACTGAATCCACTGCTCCTGCTGCTCAGCCTGACACCTGGACCCAGACCTGCTCACAGCTGCCAGGGCCCCTTTCATCTGGCCGCCGCTGGGGCCTCAGATCCCCTGTCCTCCTGGATTGAGAGGGGGCCTAAATCTGAACATGAAGTGACCACAGGCAAGTGCAGGATTCGGTGGCAGTTGGATTATTCCCATTCCATCACTCAGAGAACTCCGAGCCATCAGCAGTCAGTGCCCAGGCCCCTTCCCCAGCCCTGTACAGGTGACCCCCTCCTAGGATCTGCCCTGGGTCCCCCAGATCCACCTTGAGTCCCCGAGACGTTCCTGTCCCCAAGGTCGCACAGCACATGGCTCTGAGACTGCCCCTTCCCATGCACCCCAACTTGGAGGTTTACCACCTTATACACAAGAAATATTTCTCCCCAGCATCTATGGTCGCAGTGCACCTGTCACTCAGCCACAGTCCCCAGCCCAGGCCAGGCCCCAGAATCCCCCACATACAAGATGGGCTGGGTGTCCCTGCTACTAGGAGCCCACACCATGACTCCCAGTGCAGAGGATGAGGCCATGCAAAGGCAGCAGCCTTCAAAGCCCCAGTGAGAGAGGAAGGGGCCTGGCACTGGGTCTGGGAGCTGCTTCTGCAAGGGCCAAGCTGTGTTTCCGTTCTGCTGGCCTGAGGGTTTGTGAGGACAGAGGAGGGCAGGGCATTTCCTGGGGCCTCCCAGGCACTGCTAGCTCCTGAATCCCTTGCCTGGGGAAGCGGGAAGGCAGAGGGTGGGACCCACAAGCTGAGTCACCCAGGCCTGGCTGGCTGGACCAGAGAGCCAGCAGGGTCAGGAATGGGGCTCGGGCAGAAGCTCAGAGCCACCTTCCTGCCCCTCATTTCTCTCTCCCCAAAAGGAAAACAAGCTTGGCCAAGCCTCCAACCTGCTGGGTGACCCCAGCCAAGGCGGCTCCTCCTGCGCCAGGTGGGTGTGTCCTCCCTGCCCCAGGAGGAAGGGGCAGGACACCAAGCACGCCCCTCCCAGATGACTCCAGACCAGTGAGGGGCCGTGGGCCTCAGGGCTGGGGACCACTCACCCCATTTCCTCCAGGGAAACAGATGAAGAAACCGGGCTAAGCAGTCACAGAACATTTTAGGTCCGCGTGACTCCTGTGTCACCTCCCTCGGGCTGCAGCTGCCACCACCCACCTCTGCCCAGCACCAGGAGGTTCCCTGGGGCCAACAGCACTGCTCTGCCACCTTCAGTGCCAGAGTCCCAGCCTCTCGTCTCTGGCCCTCCTAGGCACCATGGTGAGAGGACCCGGAAATGCCCTGCACAGGGTGGGACCCGAGATCTCCCATCTGGTGACTTTTCCCACCGGCCACGAGACCCCAGTGCCAGTCTCATCGCCTGGGCCTCTGCATTCCCATCCATGAAGTGGGGTTGGGTCACTGTGTCTGGGGTCCCCATTCTGAGCCCCCTAAAGCCAGAAACCCTGAAGCAAGACGGACTTGTGTCCTCCCTGGTCCACTCCCTCCCCTGCACCAGCTCAGTGCCTCAAAGTCTTGGTGTCCCAGGGATGACTTTAACATCATTTTTGCAAATGACTCAGGCTAAGCCTCCTCATAACAACATCTGCGAGCCTCTTTTTTTTTTTTTTTTTTTTTTTTTTTTTATTTTCAGAA